TATATATATATACAACAAACCACACATAATATATGTGCATATAAATATATACACATATAACTCTTCAATATATATATATATATATATATATGTATAACTATAAATCCAGAAAGTGATAAATCTTTAAAGTGATAAAGAATTGTGAGAAGAAGTCAGAATTCTGAGATTAAAGTCAGAATTCTGACTTTTTTTCTCATACTGAAATAAAATTTAAAAATCAGTTTTTTTTCAGTGGCCCTAATCCTCTTCCGTACTCTTCCGTATTAAACCGAACAAATAATGGTGCAGGATATTTTTCAAAGCACAAATCATGTGAGAATTAAAAACATTTAGTGTTGGTATAATACACAGTGTTGCGCAACACTGCTTTTGGAGAGGTCTAGAGCTGATAGGGGCGCTGATAATAAATAAACTGGTCTCCCCGGGTGGGCGGAGCCTCTGCTCTGCATCATAAGCCATCAGCACAGCGGTTCTCAAAGAGACCTAAACCCTCCGGCCTGCTCCGCTACTTCTCCTGTTGCTACACGTAAGTTTCTCCTTCTGCTTTATTTCGAAGCAAGTTTTCATGAATCTTAATTGCTGTTTTGTTCAGATCTGAAAACAGTCAGAACCCGAACCCAGCTGCTGGTTTTTACTTTGTCGCAGTGTGATGGTGACTCAGGCGATAACTTCCGACTAAGTTTTTTTTTTTCTTTCTTTCTTATGTTATCTTCCTATCTTCGCTCTTTTGGGTGGAGCTTTTCTCTTTTTAAAGTTTTGTTCGTTTTTGGGACCAGAGTAAAAGGAGCATGTGAGAGCGACGAGGGAAAAAAAAGTACTGAGCAAACGATAATTGATTTGAGGACAAGAAAATACTTTGAGACTTTTTGTCTCTTTATTAACCGATCTGTCTGTCAAACCTCTGTTTTAGGGTCCTAAGCTTTAGTACTGCAGTTCGCAGTGGGCCTTTGCTGTTTCGGGTATACTATTTTTGGTATATTTAAAAAAACAAACAAACAAAAAAACAAGTCTGTTTATTTAACATACAGGTGCATCTTAAGAAATTACAATATTCCACAAATAATTTATTTAATTGTCATACTTCCATTCAAAATGTGGGGAAAAAATGATTTTGATTTAATTAAAAGTTTTAAATCTTCTTGGAAAAGTGTTACTGCAAATATATATAGGTTGCATTGATTACAGGCTTCTGGCTGATTATTCTGATTTTCACCGATAGAGATTTATTTCCAAACTGACACTGCCAGTTTTTAATATCACAAGACACTAAATATATCAAACTTATCTTACTGAAAATACATGAATCACCACCTGTGAAACCATTAAAACTTCTGAAATAACTTCTCTCAAGCATAAGTATTGGCTGATCACAGATCTTTAAAAATGTATAAAATCGAGGCTGATTAATAAGCAGTCAAATATAAATATATATATATATATATATATATATAGATAAAATACAACAAACCCCTCCTGAAAGTCTTTCTTAAAGAAAAGGGTTTTATCTAAGGCTAAGTTCACACCGCAGCCTGAAGAGACCCAAATCAGATTTTTTCTTTTTTTGCCCATATAGGACCTGGATCTGATATTTTCATGACAGTCTGAACAACACAGATTCGATTTTTTTCCAACGCGACCCAGGCCGCCCGACTATGTGGTCCTAAATCCGATACGAGTCTGATCTTTTCAAATTGTGTCTGAACAGCCAGGTCGCATCCATCCCACCTGAATGTCATTTATATCCGACAGTGATCACTCTTCTGCTTCTTGCTATGCAGAAGTGGCAAGAAAAAAAAAACAAAAATGGTGGATAACAATACAGGGAGTAGTAATGATGTTTAACCATCGTGGAAAGATTGAGTTTTAATGTTGGGAAAGATTGCTAGATGTTCCCCAGCACTACCATCCATGTTTACTTCTGTAAACACTGAGCATGCATGCTTGTGATGTCATTGCGTCCTCTACTGCGGATGCGGGACACTTGGTTTGTAAGAATGCAGTTCACACAGGAGATCACATACAAGTCGCATATATTTGGAAATGTGAACAGCAATGCAAAAAAATCGGATTTCACAAAAAACATCGGAATTGAGCATCAAGGCCTGCAGTGTGAATATAGCCTAAATGTATTAATGGAAAGTTAAATGGAGGCAACAACTGTGTCAGGAAAGGGGCATAATCAACAGTTGTTGACTTCCGTTTATTTAGCACCACTTCACATTCAATCAGAATCAAGTTTATTGCCAAGTAGGTTTGCACTTACAAGGAATTTGACTTGGTGTTGATGGTGCAGACTAATTAGATATATATACAGAATACGGTATCTATAGTTATATACAATATGATATATACAATATATAGCTATATACAAAGTGGACTGTGTGTTAATGTAACATAGGAGGTCTGGAGATGCTACGTTGGTGTAGCTTGTAGATCCTGAACCAGGGAGGGAGCGAGGCAGCGTTTCTGGGCCTTGTTGATAAGGCTGGTAGCGGATGGGAGGAAACTGTTATTGAGGCATGAAGTTTTGGTGCCGATGGACGGCAGCTTACTACCAGAGGGAGGTGAATGAAATAGTTTGTGGCTCGGGTGCGAGGGATCAGCAACAACTTTCCCTGCACGCCTCAGAGTCCTGGAGGTGTACAGATCCTGGAGAGATGGAAAAATGCAGCCAATTACCTTCTCTGCAGACCGGATGACACGCTGCAGTCTGCCCTTGTCCTTGGCAGTGGCTCCAGCATACCAGATGGTAATGGAGAAGATGAGGACGGTCTCAATGATGGACGAGTAGAGCAGCACCATCATTGTCCTAAAAAAAATCCAAATGCAGTCCACACAAACGGATAGATTTAAATTCATTTAGAGAAGTTTAATCCTAGTTACTAAGCAACACAGTCAGCATATTTTACTGGGTTTTGAACATGAAACTTGGCAGATTGCATCCAATTATTGATTTTTGCAACAATCCATCCTCCCAGGAAAGTACATGGCCATCAAGGACAGACTACTTGCTTCATTTCCATTGTCTGTCAGATCAATCATGAAGTAGAGAGAAGTTCAGAGGTGTTTAATAGTAACTGGGGCTAACTTAATACCTCAGCAGTGCCATAGACTTGCTGCAACATCGAACTGATGCAGTGTTTCATACCAAAGGAGCCTCAGTAGAAGATTGCAGGCGTGTACTCTATAGCACATAATTATAGTTTTCAGTAGGCTGATACTTCTGATTTATGGCATCTTATGTCACTCTGTCATTTTCTTTGGCGATCTGCAAGCCAAAATCAGTAAAATTAATAGAAATAATAGCTTCACCAGTGAATCTATTCAACATACATGTGATAGATTTTAAAATTAGCTACCCAGATTGATTTTACTGTGATATTTTGATTTATTGGGATGCTTAACTTTGCTTTCAAGGCAACAAGTGGTTCATGATTCCTGGTGGTTTGTTTAGAATAGGGTAGATTTTTTTTTTTTATGTGTGTGTGTTTTAGCAGCAAAAAAAGACAAATATGTTCGCGCTCTCAAAATATTATGAGATAACAGTTTTCCTAATTTCTCAAAGGCTTAAAAGGAAAGTTTATGCCTCTCCAGATCTGATGGTTGTGACCTTTCACCTGACAAAGAGCCTAAGAATAGCGATTACCCAACACATCTGAAACCATTGGAATCTGTGGGGAAAACTTACAGTTTGCAAATATTCCAGCAGACCACAGAGACTGGCCAACCTCAGGTCTTCTTTTAGCTCTGTGATTGACAGAAATATGTAGTTACACACTGTTCTGCTCTTTACATGGCGATGGCTAAGTATAGTCAGTCAGGTTAAGATTTTTTAGACTTATTCCTTGAAGAGATCATCTTACTCAAAGTAAGATCACACAAGATCAAAACAAGAAATAAAGTGCCTCTATTGAAGTCTGTTCATTTCAGATATGATGTATTATAGGGCTGCGTATTTTCGCCAAAGTCCTGAATCGATTTGATTTTGATTCATAAAGTTCTAAATCGATTAAGTTTGATCTAATGATAATCTATTTTTACAATAATAAAAGCGGTTAAACTGTGTTTCAAAATAGTCATGTATTTTATTTTTTCCTGTCATAGTAAAAACAAAGTGCAAACTTGTAAATCGGACAGTTTAAACTTGAGATGTAAACAAAAATGTCTCAAAAGTGCAAACTTGCTTGTGAAAAGGGAAAAAGTGAAGCCTCATTTGAGCAAGCAGATGTAACACGGCGGGGACACAGCAGACATGCATGAGCTGCATTATCGTCACTGCACAAACCATATTTGCATATTTGTCTGTAGCAACTACAGGGTGTTTGCTGGTCAGCCTCCATTGGCTATATTTGCAGCTGTCTGGCTTGAAGTCATCTTCAGTGCATCTTTCCTGCTCATTTGAATGTGAAAATCATGCGCACCACTATAAAACTAATCGATCTCATTCCCTAGACATCGACTTTGCAAAAATGTAAAGGAATTGATTCAAAATCGACTAAATCTATCTTTTTACCCAGCCCCAATGTATTATCTTAACCAATGCAATAAAACCTTGAAGCTTTCATTTTAATGATCAATTTATTTAACTCCAAGGTTTTACAAAGATGATGGCTTATTTCATCTGTATTTCTCCACTTATAGCCTCTTGCTGTTGTATTTTTGCTCTTTGTTTAAGAAATGAACTTTATATTCGGCAGGCAATGTTTTTTTATTTTTTGTTAGTTTTTTTATAAAACCGTTGCAATCAACAGTAGTTGATCTTTTAGGAAAATATGAGTAGAAAATTATTGAGAGAGGCCACATTTATTATGTGGCCAAGCTTTCATTTGAAAGGCACCTGAATGGAAAAGAAACTGGATATTTTTAGACAGTTTGAGAAGGGATGATGTGTCTTTTTGAAAAAGTTTTGTTTAGGTTTTGTTATCTTTCTTTTTCTCTGCTTTTTATGGCTTTCTATGCGTTTTGTGATGCTGGAAACTATTCTAAATGTTGTTTAAACGTCTTAAGAACCTACAAGGTATCTAAAAACAGCTCATACAGATGGTGAGCTGCATATTTTTCAGACAGCAATAACTCTTGAATTTTAACGTTTCGTATTCATAAAAAATGTTTTTACTTTTAACTAAGGAAAGAATTACCGGATACAAATTAAAACATTTTTTCCTAGGGCTGATGGATTATATTTGACATCAGTGTAACCAATCCCTGGTATTTGCTGACTTTGTTGTTTGAAATGTCAATGTTTCAAATTTTTGTTGCTTTTTCAGTGGTTTATGTCACAAAAAAGCCAAAGCTCCTTTTCATTGCCAATGCAAGCGGTCACTGGTTGAGCTCCAGATTCTCCTCCTTACATGTTTTCCCAACAGTTGTGAGATTTGAATCTTACATCCCAAGATATGGCTCCCAAGATATGGCTGCTGAATACACTAATGAATCAGCAAATGCTTGAATGTTTCGTGCAAAAATATCAGCTGGCTGATGTGTAGTTCTATATCTAAAGGAGAAATTAAGGCTTTTATTCAGTTG